TTGCCCTGTCCGACGTCTCCCTTCACCCACTTTTCTGTTGTCCGTCCCCCAGGGAGGAGGTCACATATAGTTCCTTGTAATCGGTTCCCTCCCTCTCAGATTTCTAGGCACTAAGAAATGGCTTTCAAAAAATAAATTTTGAGAAAAATAAATTTTCAAAGCTGAAATAAGGAAATGACTGGATTTTGCCCCTTTTTTTCTTTTGAATTCATATGTAATCCTTTTATTTCCTCACTTTTAGAAAATCTAGAGAAAGAATCCAAAGACAAAGAAGAGAAAATAAATAAGATAAAGCTAGTTGCTGTGAAGGCAAAGAAAGAACTTGATTCCAGCAGAAAAGAGGTACTAATGACGTTCTGAATCCCACACTCGAGAAGATCGTAGATTTTCTGCCTGTGAAGCACTCTTTAACTTTAGTGTATATTTGAAATAGGCCCAGACGCTAAGGGAAGAGCTTGACTCGGTGCGATCAGAAAAGGATCAGTTGTCCACTTCCATGAAAGATCTCATTCAAGGTGCAGAAAGCTATAAGGTAAAAATAGGTGTTTTAAATATTAAGAAGTTGGATTCATAACTGCTAAAATAAGAAAATCACTGGAAATGTAAAACTCTTGCCCATCAAGCGGTCACTTTGTGTTCATGAATGGGAAATGGGTGTGTGCACGTGCACACTTAAGTGCACAGTGTAGTAAGCTCTTAAGCACCAGAAATTTAAGTCACAGATGGTAAATAAAGAGCCCCAGTGGGTTAGACCTTGGATTGCTAACTACCAGGAGAATCAGTAGGCTGGTTTCTCCCATAGGAAGATGGACAGTCTTGGAACCGATATAGGCTTGTTATAAGTGGGAATCCAGCCGTGGAACCCTTGTGGAGACAGTTGTGCACTGTGAATCAGAAACAACTAGATTTCTGAGCTTGCTGCTTTCATTTTCAGGAGCCTATATAATCTATGCATTCCCTCCAAAGGTAAACAAGCATACCACTTTAGTTGGTTAAAAAATGTATATATCTTTGTTATAACATTTTCTCAATCTTTGGACAAGCTGAAGATTCTATGATAAAGCAACACTATTTAAAGTAGAATCAAAAGCTCAATAGGTTTAGGAATGTTGATCTCATTAAAAATAAACTTATTAACTGTATTCTCAGGGAACATAATTTTTAAGGTTTGAGTAATTTGGTAGTTCACTTCTGACTTTTACCTAGTCTATTAATAAAAGTAACTATCTGATAAGATATGTAAGAGCCCCCAATAAAAGTAAGGGGGGGGGGAACGAGACAAACCAAATAAATAAATAAAAGTAACTATCATTATTAGTTGTAGTTTGATGTTGTTCTTGTCAATTGCTGACTCCCAGCAATACTGTGTACAACAAAATGCTTCGAGGTCCTGTGCTTTCCTCTAAATTATTATGTTTGAACCCATTGTTGCAGCCACTGTTTCAGTCCATCTCCTTGATGGTCTTCCTCCTCTTCCATGACCTTACACTTAACTAAGCACAGTGTCCTTTTCCAAGGACTGATCTCTCCTGATAAGTAATATGTCCAGAGTGGGTGTGACAAAATCTCCATCCTTGCTTCTAAGGAGCATTCTATCTGCACTTCTTCCAAGATAGATTTGTGTGTTCCACTGGCAGTCCTTGGTACTTCACTGTTCTTCACCATCATTCAAATGCATCAATTCACCGGCAGTCTTTTTTTTCCATTTTCCCACATTCACCTGCATATAACGTGACTGAAACTACCGTGGCTTGGGTCAGCCCCACTTGAGTCTTCAAAGTGACATCCTTGTTCTTCAACACCTTAGAGAGTTCTCATGCAGCAGATTTGCCCCGTGTGATATGTCACTGATTTCTTGACTTCTGTTTCCAGGAGCATTGCTTGTGATCCAAGCAAAATGAAATCCTTGGCAACTTCTGTCTTTTCTCCCTTTATTAAGACGTTGCTTATTGGTTTAGTTGTGAGGCTTTTGATTTTCTTTACATTGTTTTGTAATCTGTACTATAATCCATACTTAATCTGTATTAGCAAGTACTTCAAGTTGGTTTTCTGCAATCCAGGTTGTGCCATCTGCATGTCACAAGTGGATAATAACCCTTCTTCAGTCCTGATGCCATGTTCTCTGTTAGTTACTCGGCTTCCAGATTGAATAACTATAGTGAAAGGATACAATCCTGATGTGTACCTTCCTTGATTTTAAATCACTCAGTATTTCCTTGTATAACTGTCTCTTGTTCCATGTACAGGTTAAACATGAGGACAATGAAGTGTCCTGGAATTCTTATTCTTTTCAGTGTTAGCCATCATTTGTTATAAATAACATAGTTGAATTATTTTGTGTAGTCAATAGAACACAGGTAAACATCTTTCTGGTGTTCTCTGTTTTCAGCTAACAGTCATCTGACATCACACATGCCGTGTCCTTTTGTGAATTCAGATTCAGTTTCCTGTCCATGTGCTGCTGCAACCACTGTTGAATTCTCTTCAGCAAAATTTTATTTGCATGTAATATTAGTGATACTGTTAAATAATGTTTGTGTTTTGTTGGGCCACCTCTCTTTGGGATGAGTTCAGATATGGATTTTTGTCTGTTGGTTGGCCAGTTGCTGTTTTCCGAACTTTATGACTCAGACGAAAGAGTGCTGGAACTTTGTGTTTCAGTAATACTTTCAGTGCAGCTTGGACTTCTTCCTTCAGTATTGCTTCTTGATCGTGTGCCACCTCTTGAAATGGTTGTATATGTCAATTCTGAGTGGTGATGAACTCTCTAGGACAGGGTAGAACTGTCCCTGTGGGTTTCCAAGACTGGACCTCTTTACTGGAGTAGAAAACCTTATCTTTCTCTCGAGGGCCAACTGGTGGATTTGAACTACTAATCCCATGGTTAAGCAGTCCAATCCTTGGCTCTATGCCACCAGGGCTTTTGGTACAGTGATTGCTCCTTCCATCATCTTTTGATGCTTTCTGTGTTGTTCAATATTTTGTCCTTAGAATCTTTCCATATTGCAACTCTCCAGGCTTGAGTTGTTTTCTTAAGTTCCTTCAGCTTGTCTGTGTCGAGCATGTGCTCCCTTTTTGGCTTGCTAAGTCCAGGTACTTGCACTTTTCACTAGACTACTTAGTCTTCTCGAGCTGCCCTTTGAAATTTTCTATTCAGATCTTTTCATCATTTCTTCTATTTGCTTTAGCTACTCATAATTTCAAGGGCAAGTTTCAGCATCTCTTCTTCTTTTTTTTTTTTTCAGCATCTCTTCTTACACCCACTTTGATCTTTTCTTTCTTATCTTTTTAATGACCTTTTGCTTCGTGTATAATGTTCTTTTTTTTCATGTCTGATGTTCTTGATGTCATCCCACAGCTCATCAGTTCTTCTGTCATTCGTGTTCAAAGATTCAAATCTGATCTTGAGATGTTCTTGAAATTCAGATGGAACCTGATCCATGCTGTATTTTTACTCCCGTGGGCTTGTTTGAATTTTCTTCAACTTCAGCCTCAACTTACCTATATGCAATTGAAGATCTGCTGTACCATCAATCAGCCACTGGCCTCATTTTGGCTGCTGGTCTTGAGTTTTCCCCGGCATCTCTTCCCACAGATGTATTCAATTTGCTTTCTGTATACAGTGGCTAGTGACATCTATATGTACAGTCACTGTGTTGCAAAAAGGTATTTTCATTGAAGAAGTCATTAGTCTTTAACAGAATTTTAGCTTGTGATATCCAGCTTTGTTTCTATCATCAAGGTCATATTTTCCATCTACCTATCCCTCTTTGTTTCCAGTTTTCACATTATAGTTGCCAGTTACCCTCAGGGCATCTTCATTGCGTGCTTGATCTATTTCACATTGATGATAGTGGTAAAATTCTTCATCATTAACTTGAGTGGTTAGTGTGTAAATTTGAATAGTAGTTGTATTAACTGGACTTTCTTTTAGGTAAAAATAGACTACTATAGAAACGATTGTACTTAAAGATCTTTTTTGTTTTGTTTTTTGTACTTAAAGATCCTGAAATGTGCTTTTAGGCAATAAATGTGGCACTATTACTCATGAAATTGTCGTTCTAGACATAGTAAACCATATAATTGATTCCAAATGGCCAGAATCAGTCTGTTTCAATTCAGTAATGCCTAAAATATTCTATGATCCATTTCGTTTTTAATGATGGCCAATTTTCTTAGATTCATACTTTGTACATTCTTTGTTCTAAAGGATGTTTTATAGGAGTTTTAAAACATTTGAGTGGAAGAGTCCTGAAAGGACAATATAGTGTAATTATTTGTTTAGAAACCTCAGTATACTATTTTTGTTCTATGCCCCCCTTATGAATAATTCTTGATTAAAGTCCCAACATTCTGTAGGTAACCATCATTTATCAGAGTCCACCTTGGTATAGCAATTCAATTTTCATAGTTATTGACAAATGTTAGGACTATAAATAAAGCAAATTCTAGATACCTAAGTCTTGTCTTCTGTTAGTCAAAATAAATCACTCACTGGTCAGTCTAAACCACCGCCAAATCCACTACCATCAAGTTGATTTATACTCAGAATGACCCTATAGGACAGCAGGAGCTGCCCCACTATGTTTCAGGGGCTGCAGAATCTGGACAACAGACAGTCTCATCATCAGATTTGAACTGCTGACTTTGCAGTTTTTAGCCCAGTGCATAACCCACTATCCATCAGGGTTCCCTTATGGACAGCCCATAAAATCAAAATTCAGATTTTAACTCTTAGCTGTTAAGATGGATAAATAATTGATCATACATAAATCAAAATTTAAAACAAAATTAGTGGGCCAAGTATTAGATAATGATGAGCAAGTGCCCCTAGAACACTCCTCTACTACATTTGTTAGCTAACCAGAGAATCCCAGGGAAGGTAAGCCACGGGAGAAGGCATCCACGTTCAGGTAAGGTTTTACTTTCAGGCTAACTAGTTTTCTTGGTTCTGATGATAGGAAGCAGGTGAGCTAATGTCTCAGTGGAAATTTACAAAATTAACTTTTTTCCCCCCAGACATAAGTGTTTTATTTAAAAAATAATAAAAAATGCTTTCATCGCAGTCTGGTTTCCTTCAGTTATACCAAATTAACTTTCAAAAAAAGCCCAGAGACATTTTATTATTTATTTTAGATGCAAGTTTATTTTTTCATAAGAGGGTAGTCAGTAGCTATTCAGGAGCAAAAGCAAGATCTGTGAGGGGGAAAAACTACACACAGTATGAAAACTGTGAATTTAACGTACAGGTTTTAGGGAATCAACTGAATGGTGTATAGCAAAAATGTCAGTCTAAGTATTTTGTCTTGTACAGGCCAATTAAAATTGAAGGAAAATTTTCGAGTTTTGGATTTTCTAGTAAATACTGATAGTTAAATGCTAAATGTCTGTCTTATTATAATGTATTTTTGATTAGCACCTCCACCTTAATTAGACCAGGCCTAGAATATTTCTTTCATCAGAATTCTTTAGGTGGAATTCATAGATGTCCAGGTTAAAGTTTTCACCCTCGTTCCTTTGGTTTTGTTCAAGTTTTGGGAATATGTGCTTGTGGATTGTATTGGCAATAATATATCGTGACAATGAAATTCTCTATATCTTTTAATAGATTTTCACACCCTAAGAATTACTTGAGTTATATTAATTGTATTATTTAATACCAACTGAATATTCTATAACTGTTGAACTTGAGCAAATATTTTAAACATGTAGTATGCACTTATAAATCTTAAAACAGCTTTATGATTCAGTCTGATCCATGAATTAAAAATAATATCTCTTTTTTCTTAATCATTTTATTGGGGACTCACAACTCTTATCACAATCCATAAATACATCCATTGTGTCAAGCACATTTGTACATTTCATAATATCTTAAAAGTTGTAAACTTTTTTCTTTTATTGAAGAATCTTTTATTAGAATATGACAAGCAAGCAGAGCTATTGGATGTTGAAAAAGAACGTGCTAATAATTTTGAGCATCATATAGAAGACCTTACAAAACAATTAAAGAATTCAACTGTTCAGGTAACTCCTAAGTAAATCTAAACATGAAAATTGTAATAAATAAATATATCTTCATCCCAAATATATTTTTGCTTAAAAAGTTAAAATGAATAAGCAGAAACAAATTTTTCTCTTTTGTTCTCCATTCTTGAGAGGAATAAAGCAGCAACTAGTAGACCTCTCCTCTTGCTGCTTATTACTCCCATGTCACTTCCCCACTTCTCATTTTTGCCTTTTCCGCTGTTGGTTTTCCTACTTTCTTCCAAGCTTTGCCACAGTAATTTGAACAATGTTTCATTTGGTTTTTTACTTTATTCTTGATTTTGTATTTTCATTCAAAAATACTTTTAAAGTATTTATTTTTCACACCAGAAGCCCTGGCTATGTACTAGGTTACACATTGTGTTGGGATTAGACCATTCACATCCTGCCATTATCATTAATGTTCTATTTTATTCTTTGGCTCCTGTGTATGTATTCTGCATACTTATAGAAATGAACCATCTGTCATTCTAGTGTGAAAAATTAAATTCTGATAATGAAGATCTCCTGGCTCGTATTGAGACACTGCAGAATAATGCCAAGTTGCTAGAAGTACAAATTTTAGAAGTCCAAAGAGCCAAAGCACTGATGGAAAAAGAGCTAGAGGCTGAGAAACTTCAGAGAGAACAGAAGATGAAGGTAAAAACGGGCCTGTGAGGTCATTGATTCGTTTAGATAGAGTGATGTTTTAAATCTAAATATTTAATTGAAGAAAAAATTTACAGAAAAGCAGCAGTTAATGTCTGTGTTTGGGGCGTGACTTTTCATTGTAATTTTAGGAACATGCCAGTACTCTAAGTGAACTTGAAGAACTTCAGCTGCACCTTCAAAAGGAAAAGAAACAGCTTCAGAAAACCATGCAAGAATTAGAGCTTGTTAGAAAGGTAATAAAACCCCAAATCAGGGTGCCAACATTGACACAGTTACTCTGTACATATTGAAAAGCAGCATTTCAGAAAGGGAATTATTTGTGCTAATAAAAACTCATAACCCCAAAAAAGTAAAATTCAGCTTAGTGCCTGTCTTTCCTGAAGTAACTAGCAGTTAGTAGGAATTATTATATTTGAATTTGGTACTTAATTCCTGCCTATGAGTGGCATGTGACAGGTCAAGATGTAATGAATGGCAGAACTTTGCCTAATTTTTCACTGCCTTTTTGAACGCGCTGCCTGAGTCACTCCAGTTCACCGTGGACCTGTGGGGTCTGATAAGGACTCCAAGGCGGTGGGTGCATCTTCACGTAAGCTGGCAGTCTCATGGGGCTTCTGAGGAGAGACTGGTGATTTGAACTGCCCATCTTGCAGTTAACGGTGTGTTGTTTAACCATGCCCCAGGGTTCCTGTTTCAAAGACAGAGCTAAAAAGAAAGGTCCTATAAAAGTCCATTGCAATATTAGCATTTTATAAATAAGAGCCTCACAAGATTAGAACTGCCACTTATGGTTCATGAAAGTGATAACGAAATAAAATAAAACTAAGGTGGTAGGGTTAACTTACTAAAAAATACTTCATTTTGTGAAATGATGCAAGAACCCGTGCAATCAGAAACTAGCAAGTATCTGACTTCTGAACACTTCTAGAAACACTGGGAGCATAGTGGGTGACAGTTAGACTGCTCACCACACACAGTTCAAGCCCACGAGTTGCTCAGCGAACAGGATTGCTCCCGCAAAGATTTGCAGCCTGGGGAGCCCTGTGTGGCTGTTGTGCTCTGCCCTGTAGGCTTGCTGTGATTGGAATCAGCTCGATGCTAGTGAGTTTTTGTGTGTTTTTTTATTATTATTACAGAAAAAGGATAATTTAGTCTTTGACAATGTTATAGCATTTTTACATATCTAGTATTTGTGGGTTTTTTAATTTATGATGTATATATAGGATGCTCAACAAACCACATTGATGAATATGGAAATAGCTGATTATGAACGTTTGATGAAAGAACTAAATCAAAAGTTAACTAATAAAAACAGCAAGATTGAAGATTTAGAGCAAGAAATAAAAATTCAGAAGCAGAAACAAGAAACCCTACAAGAAGAAATGAGTGAGTAAAACGAAACACACTTGACTCTGACTTATGCTGTCATCATAGAGGGGCTGTGTGCGTGATCATTTCGCCACGCATGACTTATCAACGAGATTTTCAAAAGTTGGTTATTGTCCATCTTATTATTAAGGTAGCCATTCTACATGGGTTCTTTTTCCATCCTCTGGCTTTTAACCTATTTATGCTTCTAAATTCTGTTGAGTTTCTTTTAGATAACAAAAGTTAGTTAGTTGAGCCTTTGTTTTCTCTCCAACCTGTGACGGTCTCAGCTCTGTAATTATTTAAATGATTCTTTTAACTCTATCACCTTACTACTTACTACTGCTCACCACTTCCTCATTTTTGGCACCGTTTGAATTAAATTTTTTTAATGATTTGGGAGGGTTCGTGGTGGTTGTTTTTTTTTCTTTCAGTAGTTTTATTGGCGTACAGTGCACATATGCAATTCAGTGGTTCAGTCACGTCAAGGAGAGTTGTACAGTCATCACCACAATCAGTTTTCAGACATTTTCTTCATTTTTGTGCTAATTGTTGTTAGTTCCCCCATCTCACCCCTTTTAATCTTTTATTTGATATACCTCCTTTTTACTTTTAGCCTTGCTTTATGGTTTATAATGTACATCCTGAACTTACCTCAAGCATACTAAAATAATTTAGTAATTATATACTGTTTCCCTCCCCTTTATATTGTCATGTATTTTACTTCTACATGTTATAAACATATTAATACATGTTGCTATTTTTGTTAGAAAACCATTTTCTTTTCAAGCAAAAATCAGCAAATGCCTTTAGAACAGCAACCTGGTTTTGTAAATCAAGTTTTATTTAAACATATCCACGCCCATGTTTTCCCAAATCACCAAAACACATTAAAAATAAACATTGAAAAGCAAAATTTCAAGAAGGAAATTATTTGTGGCATTATATTAACCATTTATACGACTTGGTAGTCTCAAATTTTGAAATTTCAGCACTTCTGTAAGTACCTACCTTTCCAGAAGAATCTATTTTTAGATATGGCTTTCTATTTAGATTTTTATATAATAAGTATTTTTAATTAATGTAGAAACTGTACATTTATATGACATTTCGTATTGTCTTTGGCTACTTTCACCCTCCTGTGACAGAGTTGGGTAGCTGTGACTGAGACCTTATGATGGCCTGCAATCCTAAAACATTTATATCAAGGTTTATAAGCAAAAGACATTGAACAACCTCTGCTTCAAATAAATTAAAAATTAAGGGAAACATGGGGGTGATTTTGTTTGTTTGTTTTTAAATCATTTTATTGGCTCATACAACTCTTATCACAATCCATACATGCATCCATTGTATGTCAGGCACATTTGTACATTTGTTGCCCTCATCATTCTCAAAACATGTGCTTTCTACTTGAGCCCTTGGTATAGATGCTGCTTCTGGTACTCTTTAAGTATATCCAGATTCCATCAGGTATCTTTTCTTGTTCCTTAAGAATTTTTTAAACATATCTTGTAGTCTGGCAATAAATTCTGTAAACTTATGTTGGTCTGCTGATATTTAATCTGCTTTCATATTTTGAAAGATATTTGTTGACTATAGGATTTTAGATTGACACTGGGGTCTTTTCCCTTTGAGTAAATTAAAGAGGTTGTTTCATTGTTTTTTGGCTTGCTTAGTTTCTGATACTATGTGGAATTCTTGAAACTGGGTTATGATATGACTCGGTGTGTTTTTCCTGGGTTGTATCCTGCACATGGTTTATTTCATATCCTGGATGTATGGGTGTTTGTTTTTTCAAGCTCAGTACATTATCAGTTTAAATGGCTTATTTTTTTAATCTTGTGGTTGTAGTGTAGAATTGTGGAGCCACCGCACAGCTCTCACCAAAGGTTTATATGTTGTTATAAGGTTGAACAGGTTTCAGCAGAGCTTCCGGACTAAGAAAATCTAAAAAGAAAGGCTTGTCTGTCTACTTTCAAAAAATTGGCCAATAAAAAAGCAGCATTCATAGAGTTCTGCACCCAGTGTGTATAAGGTTACCTTTAGTCGGAAGCCAATCTTTGTTAGCTTAAATGTATTCTTGCAATATACCTGTTCATATTTATCAAATAATACATGTAGATTTCAGTGAATAAAGATATTTATTATAAAGTCTTTTATCAGCATGATTATACAGTACCCATGTAACTTGTCTAGGTAGTTGAGCAAACTTTCTGTAAAGGGCCACATAGACAATATCTGAGGCCTGCAGACTCTCTTTGTGGGCTCTCTCTCTCTCTCTCTCGTATTCTGTGTTTCTTAAAACACTCTAGCCAGATTGTACTGCTAATTGTAGTCGGGGACCTCTGGAGTAGACAATGAATCCACCAATCCCTATCTGATCTGTGTTTCTTCTTTACATCTATTAGTATAAAAGTGTTATTGTTCTTTGAGGCATCGATTTGTCCCTTAATAAACTTTCACAAACAATCTAGTCCTACAAAATATATATTATACCTGTATTACTGTTACAAAAACACACCCAGATTTCTAGAAATGTAGCCTCCTTTTTGAGGTATTTTTAAAGTAGGGTCCATACCTTTTAGAGATAGAATAAATAAGAGAATAACCCTGCCTTTACTTAGAGGTCTTACTGAAATGCAGATGAGTGGATTTGCTTTAAAATAATCCAAGAATGGTTTAGAGCAGGGGTCCTCAAACTTTTTAAACGGGGCCAGTTCACTGTCCCTCAGACCTGTAGGAGGGCCGGACTGTAGTTTAAAAAAAAAACAAAACTATGAACAAATTCCTATGCACACTGCACATAATCTTATTTTGAAGTGAAAAAACAAACGGGGCAAAAACACCCGGCGGGCCGGATAAATGTCCTCAGCAGGCTGCAGTTTGAGGACGCCTGCTTTAGAGACTGGTTGATGGTATAGGTTGGAAGTCGGCATACTTTTCTGTAAAGGGCCAGGCTTGTAGGCCACACAGTTTCTGTTGTGACTACTCGACTCTGCCATTTATCACAAAAGCAGCCATAATGATACATAAATGAATAAGTGTGACTGTGTTTCAGTGAAACAGTATTGACAAAAATAGAGCCAGATTTGCCCAATGGCTATAATCTGCTGCCTGCCATGGGTCTGATTGAAATAAGATCACCCATTTATCAGTAATTGTTAAAGCTGGCTGATGAGTAACAGGCGTTACAATGATGTCATTACTGTCGTATATGTTTAAAATGTTCCATAATAAAAACCTAAAATATGTTGTTTTCAACATCAATCCCTGGAGCACAGACTATTTTTTTATTTAATCATTTTATTGGGAGATAACATTCTATAGTTAATTCACATCAAGCAGTATTGTACAACTGCTACCACAGTCAGTTTCAAAACATTTTCTTGCTTCTTGAACTCGACATCAGCTCCCCTTTATCTCCTCCTCCCCACATCCCACCCCTCAGGAACCCTTAATGATTGATTGAGTGAGTGACTGCCGTATGTTATACCACACCATTCAACATATCCATCCACGTGCAGTTGTGTTGCTCACTCCCCTCGAGTGGGGTTATACAGAGACTCATTATTTGTGTTTTTGAATTTATAAAAATTGTTTTCACCTTTCTGTTGGAAATGACTTCTTACACCAGCTTCACTGCAGTCGTCAGTACAACAATATGAAGAAAAAAACACCAAAATCAAGCAAGTGCTGGTGAAAACCAAAAAAGAATTGGCAGATTCAAAACAAGCAGTATGTTAATTTCTCTACTTTAAATTTAAAACCTATTCATAACCCTTGCGGTTGGTTGGTTGTTTCTCATTTGTAACCAAGATTCTCATTCTGTAGGAAACTGATCACTTAATGCTTCAACAGACTTTGAAGAGTGAGTTGGAGGCAAGCCAGCAGCAAGTTGAAGTGTATAAAGTAAGGCTTGTTACATTTAAGGAAGGTTTTCATTTCAGAGTGTTCCTTTGACAGACTTAAGGTATTTTCCCAATTATCCCATTAGACAAGATTCCTCGGCATTTTTAGGAAACAAGTAGTAAATCAAACACGGCCATATAACTGAAAGTTCTTGATACATTAATACTAATGCAAAATAAAATAAACATAGTGGCCAACCTGCATCTGAACTTGGTGAGTGATAACTGCAGTTGCAAGAATCAGTTTATGAAATAAGCCTAAAAGCCTACTAATGTATAATGTTCCGAGATAATTTAACAAGGAGACATCACATGTCTGGATTTTTTTTAATTAATAGAAAATTTATTTGGGCTTTAAGGAACACTAAATTACTTACTGTTCTGCAAATCTTCCCTTGCTTTTACTGTCTCCTTCCTCTCAATGATAATTGAGAGAAAAAATGAAAAGATCTCACATTGTTATTATATTCCTTATATACGCATACATCTCAAACTCTGGCTTTGTGTTAAGGAGAAGCTGTTTAACCAGTTCATGCCTGATTTACTAGATTTTAATTGAAAGACTTGTGCCCTAGATTCAGTTGGCAGAAGTGACATCTGAGAAACACAAACTTCACGAGCACCTGAAGACCTCTGCAGAGCAGCACCAGCGCACCCTGGGTGCGTACCAACAGAAGGTCACGGCTTTGCGAGAAGAGTGTCACACCGCCAAGGTACGCGCTCTCAGTTACTCTCCACGAGTTAGACGCTTGCAAAAAGGTTATGTTTCCCACTTTCAGTGTTTTGTGGTTATTTAAGAGCACTTGCTTAATTTGGGTAACCTCCTTCAGAGCATATGACCCTTTCCCAGCACCAGCTCCAACCATAACTTTGATAACTTTTGTTTATGGTTGGCTTAGATTTGAATGGCACCCTGTTTTCCATTTCAACCTTCTTTTCATTGTGTCCGATTTTTTTTCCTTTGAGTTGTGCGACCATCTTCATTACAGCTCCGGCCCTGTTTTTCCTCCCTCATTAATGTACATTCACTGCCCTCTAAATCTTTCAAGTGGCTGTTTTCCATTTGGTCCCATGTAAATAGATCTTAAGATAGCACAGTGCTTCTGGCAGATGAAGTTAGGTTAAAATTTTATCACCCTGTCATTTGATCTCACTTATGATCCATTTAAATTTTTTCTAGTTTTTAGTATTTTCTGCTTTCTTTTCTATTGAAATTTTTATGTTTTACCTTGTTACTGTTGTTAGCTTTGTTTGTTTTTTCATGTTTTTCTGTATATGAAATCCAGGATAGGTAATTCTATACAGACAATAACTGGGCTAATGGTTTCTTGGGGACATGGCAGGGAACGTTGGGAGCCAATAATGACGAGTACAAGAATGAAGAAAGTATTCTAAATCTTGATTGTGGTGATGATTCTGCAACTTTTCTTGATGTTACTGAACTATTGTATGATATGTGAATTATATGCTAATAAAAATGTTGGGGGGACAAGAATAAATATATCTAAGATAGGGTGGAGAGCATAGTGCTCAAGGCAGATAATTCTTTTATAGTTAAGCTAAACTGTTCTTTAAGATTTCTGGGAATATTTTTGGCTTCTGCTTTAAAGACTACTCAGTGCAGTAGTTTTAGGGATTCATCCATCCTCCATGGCTCCAGAAAGTCGAGAGTTTACAAGAATTTCAAGTTCTCTTCTGCATTTTTACTATTTTGATTTGGATTCGGATCAAAATGTTCAGTAATGGTAGCTGGCATCATCCTGGTCTTGTGGCAAAGTAGGTAGTTGTTAATGGAGGCAATTAACCACATATTCCATTTTCTTTTCTTCTTCCTGATTCTTTTTTCCTTTTTCCAAGTGAACAGAAACCAATTGTTCCACCTTGGATGGCTGCTTGCAAGCTTTTAATACTACAGGCACTTGTGTGAGTCCAGGTAGACTAGAGAAACAAATCCAGAGATACTCATATGTGTAAGAAAGCATTTTATATCAAAGAGTAATTGTATCCTAAGAAGACAGCCCAGTCCAGATCAAGTCCATAAGTCCGATGTTAGCCCATATATCCGATACCTTTCTATAAATTACCTCTTCAGACTCACGCAACACATGCAATGACGCTAAATGCAGGAAGATCACAGGCCAGTAGGTGGAAAGTCTTGTGGATCCCGTTGCCGTGGAAGCATCTCAACGCTGCCAGGGGTCTCCACGTGGCTCCTCCAGCTCCAGAGCTCTAGCATAACTCCATGTGTCTTGTCCGCAGGAATATGTCGCAGAGATTCTGTCTTTGTTAGGCCTTCAGTGAGCTATTTGTCTCCATGGCACCTCCAAATGAGGTCATCAAACTGTGACCTGATTGACAGACTAGACTCCCCCGCTTCACAAGCTGACACCAGATTATGTAACTGCACTGCTCAATACTAGAAATAGAAAGTACTAAACACATTTCTTTAGGCCAATTAACTGGGATGTCCCATGAAACCATAAACTAAACCTCCAAACCCCGCAACCAAATCCCATGAACCAAACTACCCGGGTTTTTTTTGCTTGCTTTTTTTTTTTTGGTTGGGGGGTGGTCATAAATTTATCTCACAACTTTTGCTTTTTCCAGAGGTATAGCTTATTAACAGTAATTACATCAGCTGTACAAATACACCCTTTATGTGATTTTCCCATCACCCTAAATTGAAATGCCATACTTCATAAGCAGTAACTCTCAAGTTAGCCCTTCTCAGCCCATTGGTAACCACTAATGAGCTTTGTTATCTGTACATTTCTCTGTTCTTTTTATAAAATGAGGTCATATTTGTGTAGTATTTGTCTTTTTGTAATTGACATATTTCACTAGGCATAATGTCTTCAGACTCTATGTTTTATCATGTAAAAGATAAAAGATACTGTCTCACTGACTGAATGGCATTCCAAGGGATTTAAGGACCACATTTTCTTTATCCATTCACAGTTATGAGCACTAAAATTGTTTCTATCTTTTGGCTATTGTGGATAGTACTGCAATTGCAATGACAGTTCATGTAAAAGTATATTTTAGTCTCTGCTCTGGAGTCTTTTTAATATTTACCTAGGAATAAAATTGCTGGGTCATTTGGTAATTCTGTTTTTAGTTTATAACTCAATTTCTTTTGATTAATTTTTCTTCTATTTACTAAAAAAGAAAGTATCATAAGTGAATATCTTTTAAAGCTTTAAAAACAAAGAATACCATTATAAAATTTATAAGCCATAAATTAATCTTACCACTAGAAAACATGGTAGGAACGTCTTGACCAAGAAAATTGTATCATTCAAAGGTTACATTTATTTTTTAAGATTAAAGCCAAAAGAAGTATAAATTTTAGTGAAAATCAGTGAACTAAAGAGAATGTCAGCTATTTTCTCACTTTCAGCAACAGATTTTCATCTCAGTTCATTAATATCTGAAGCAATAAGTCATATATCAATAAAGGATTATAGAAAGTTTTTTTCTTTCTCTTAATTCTTATAGGCAGAACAAGCAGCTATAACGTCCGATTTTGAAAACTACAAAGTCAGAGTTCATAACGTGCTAAAGCAACAGAAAAACAAATCGGTGTCTCAGGCTGAATCTGAGGGAGCTAAACAAGAAAGGTAAAGCCTTAATTAAAAAAACACACATGCAGGAATATTTTTCCCAAGGCAGGTTTTCCATAAGTAGTTTGAAAATGCTGCTTTGATTCTCTTGGACTGAAATAACTTACTGACTTCACTGTGTCTCCACACAGTAACAGAAACTTCATTCCTAAGGGCCCTGAAACTCAGAATGAGGCATAAAAGCGAACAGAGAGTCCCAGATATCATTTATGAGATGTAAGCTAAATCATGTCTGAATAGGAACTGCTAAGGATCCGGGCATTAATTTGGCTAACTATTTGTTACTTAAAACATATACTCATTTCACAAAGTCTTGACCAAATTTTGGTCTGAACTTTTTTTTCTTAAAATACATTTATGATTGATGTATGTATGGATTGTGATAGGAGTTGTATGAGCCCCTAATAAAATGATTTAAAAAAAATACAATTATGAACATTTCGATTACTATTTGAATAGTATATTCTTTAATGCTTCTTTAAGCTAGCATGTAAATTTCTTTTATAACTTACTTAAAAATATACTGGGGACAAGTTAAATCGGAATCTCATAGGACTGTGTTTTCAAAGCAATTTTATATCTGACCTTCACGGTTCTAAACAGTAAAGACTAGCTGCCAGTTTATGTGCTAATGCTATTGCAGATTTTTGTTTAGGAATATTAAACATAGGGACTATAGACTGAAAAATTGTGAGATATTTTCCAAACAAATACTGAGTTCATTTTAAAGCTGAAAATTATTGGCACACTTAATGAATAAATACAAAACTGTCAGTATTTGTAAATCATCTTACAGTAATGCCCGGATTTGGGGTTAAAATTCCTTCTACTTCTTATATCTTAACCATGTGTTGTGCTAATTGTGGCAAAATTATTTGTATTTTAACTGTTTGGCCTCCAACTAGGTTTTTATTCTAAAACTGAAGAAACTTGTTCTACAGATCTGATTTTACTTTAACTTGATTTAATTTAATATTCTATAATTGTTATGTAAAAAAAATTAAACTAATCACAGTCTTATAAAACAAAGAGCCCTGGTGATGCAGTGGGCTAAGCATTGGACTCTAATCACAAAGCCAACAGTTTCAAGTCCATCTGCCTTCCTATATGAGATAGATGAGGCTGTCAACTCCTATAAAGATTTACAACATCAGAAACCCTACAGAGTCGTTCTACTCTGTCTTATAGGGTTGCTCTGTATCTGAATAGCTCACCAGCAAAGCGTTAGGGTTTAGTTAACTGTAACAAACTATCCATTCGGGTCCATGTTGTCTCTCTGAATTTCTTTGAAAATTATATTTCCTTTAGATCCCTATATAAAAATAACAAAAATATGACATTGAAAAATTAAAGGCTCACTTCTTTCAGAAGAAAACAATTTTTTAATGGCGCCTGTCTGTTTTAGGGAGCACCTGGAAATGCTGATTGACCAACTAAAAATCAAATTGCAAGATACTCAGAGTAATTTACAGATGAATGTGTCTGAACTTCAAGCATTGCAGTCTGAACACGATACCCTGCTGGAAAGGCACAACAAGATGCTGCAGGAAACCGTTTCCAAAGAGGCAGAGCTCCGGGAAAAGTAAGCCTGCTGCGGCACTAGCACTGATGGTGGCAGGCCGCTCAGTCTTTTTTTTTTTTTTTTTTTCAGAACTCCTGTGCTGTTCCATGGACTAACACGTTTGAAAATGAGAAATAGCAATTTCTAAACTCTTGGTAGCTGTTCATTCTGCCCTACAGCTCTCTCCCCAATGGTTCTTTTCTGCTTAGCATGTTCATGAACAATTAATGCTCATCTGCTGGTCCTATGTTCTGTAGCTCCTGTGACCTTCATGGCCAAGCTGTTCCTCCCCCACCCCCCCAAAAAAACAAACACTCCTGCTGTCTTACCCAAGTGTCAAATTGCAAGCATTACTTTTCTCTTTCTAGAGGAAAACATTCAAAGAGCTGCTGACTAAAAAAAGAATATGCAGTTTATCTTTGGAACTCTATCTTAAACTGGTCACATTGTTACATTTGTTAATTATATCTCATAAATTGTATGGATATAAATAGAGGCCGAATAAACAGATTTTGAAATTTGAACAACTCTAAGAAAGAAATAGGGTGGCAATATTTATTTTATCTTAGACTGAGTAAACGAGAGTTCACCGCTAAGTATCTTTCATCCAGAATGTTGGATGAATACGATATCTCAGGAATTGCTTACAACACAGACCCCATTTTATGCTAGACCCAAGTGTAAACAGTTGGATTTTTCTTGGCTTTGTAATCCACAAACAATATTTTGTAACACAAAGTATGATTGATTTCACTAAAGTAATATCAGCATTCGGTAGCCCCTGTGTGTGTATTTATGTGCCAGCAGCTCTTCTAGATGGTGTGAACAGTTCCTAACGCTTCGGGCTAAGACTTCTCTGTCCCACCTCTCCCTAAACTATTAAAATCTCATGCTATCTATGTTATCTGTGCCCTGGCATGAATAGGCTTTTCTTTCTGTGCATTCTACTTTTTAGCCATGTTTAAGATTTACACCTTCTCTCTAAGAAGTTAGCTTGAGATCATAAAACCACTCCAGAGGAATGTGGTAGTTAGGCTTGTCAGCCAATGTTGGCATTAACCAGAGGAGGGCAGCTAATATAAACAGCCTGCAAGCACGGAATGAGAGCAGTGACCTTCCATTGGTGCCTTTGTGCTGGTTCCAGATGTGGGAACTGAGAGTTTAATTTTCAAGTAAAACATTTAGAAGTGATACTGACAGCTCCTGAAAACTAAAAGCCTGGCCCTGGCACTAAATGTAACTTTTTGCTTTGTACAAAAATCTTGTAGTGAGTGCCGGCGGTACTTCTTTGACAAGAGATTTTGGTAGCTAGTGTACAACAAACTGCTTACCCAAAAAATGCATGTACAAAGAGCAGCATTACATGAATATTCTCTAAAATCATTCATTATTATGAACTTGACAATTTAAGATAAGTTTTCTAAAGTCTCATATTTGCATTGCATATCTCCTTCCTGCCACAAAACCTTTTTTAAAACCTGTGTGTGATTCATGTGTGTAATGCATAGGATGGGATCTTGCACAGTGTTTACTCCTGAGGTTGGGAGTTTTCACTGGGCCGGCCTGGGAGGTGATGGGAGTAGAGGTGCGGGACATAGGTAAAGGGGCGGGCTTCACTTTTTCCTTTTTTTCTGTATTGTTTGGCTTTTTTGAGAATGTGCTTGTTGATCCCTTCGGTAAACAAGGAGGAAGAAAAGAGTATTTTTATCCAAACCAAGCATAAGACATCAGTACTACAAGTAAACCATTAAAAGTAGTCGTTCCCAAATTGTAGTTCCATTAATGAGTGTCAGGCTGACAACATAAAAGTTACATAGGAAATTGCTGAAAGCAGCCATCCCTGAAACCACGTGAGAAGGTTCTCAATCAGTAGCTCCAGGATGAGCACTCAATAGCTATGTTATTCCCGTGGTTCAATACTGTGGCAAGATTTGGAAACAACTTTCACGGTTCGTTTTAATTGATATGGAAATAGTTTCTCTTTGAGGCGTCCCTTATGAATCAAGTGTTTGCTATTTCCAGGATATGGAGAGAGACTGTAGCCATACATTTTTTTGCTTTTAAACCATACATTTGTATGAACTACCCTATAAGTTGACTTGAAGACATGGACTAATTTAAACTATATTCTCTTTATGCGTTAAGTATAGTCCTATTTTCTGTTAAACTATAAAAGGAGTCCCTCGTTGGAATGACCGAACCATTTGTGAACCAAGGTTCCTCTTCTGAACCGTTGCTCTTTTGATACACACAAACAAACATATTTGAAGTAGATGGTAAGCAGTGTCAATTCTCCCAAGGTGGTTCACAATGAGTACAAATACAGATGTAAAAAGGGAAGTTAATTTACACCAGTAGTGAATGCCTTGAGACATTAGATCTTAAGTCTCTAGTAGAACCTGGTTAAGAAAGGCTGAATTAGCGTGAAACATTGAAAGTTGCTGAGCTGCTACGATGTTTCTCTCATCCTCAGGTTGTGTTCAGAACAATCAGAGAACATGACATTGAAGTCTGAACATGTACACACTGTGAATCAGCTCACGTCCCAGAACGAGGTCCTTCGCAGCAGTTGGCGGGACCAGGTGCGACATTTGCAGGAGGAGCACAGAAAGACCACAGAGACTCTGCAGCAGCAGCTCTCCAAGGTGGAAGCACAGCTTTTCCAGCTCAAGAGTGAGCCTACCACAAGAAGTATGTATGTGCGCAGGGAAGTCTTTGTCGTGTATGTTTTTGTGTATTTATGACACAGGAGCTCGTCAAATTTTTTTTTTTAATCTTCACAAATTCTTAACAATATAGACATTTTACTAGCCAGTTTTGATTCTGTAATTAATTAATTAATGACTTTGGCCTTCTTATTGGGAATAACCCCTTCTTGATTTTACGTAGTGGCAGTCTATATAACAACCTCTTAGAATTCTGATTTGCTTGTAGTTATTACCCTTCCAGTAAAGGAGTATTTACTTTTATTGGACTTAGACACCTACTTCTGTCAGTCTCATGATGTGTCCCAATTTGCTTTCTAATTGGAAGCATTAGTGAGAGATCAAATGACTTCTAAACACTGAAGCAGCACTGAATTTGTAGAATGTCTTGACTAAAACAGCTACTTCCCTTTGGAATGCATAATTACATGGGTGCTTATTCATATCCAATGTCTTCCATTCTGCTTCCAGGAAAAGATGTCAGCCAACAGGAGGCTGTATTGTAATAGTTAATAGTAAATCAATGGGTAATTCTTTACCCTCGAAATTGTCACTTGGGCAGTGACAGCTGCATCCCTTGGCAGGGTCTGGAGCCAGCTTCACTTATATGCTAAGAATCAACAAAGAAAGTAGCTGGTAAAACACAGATTGCACAAGAGATTTTAATCTAGGAATTAGCAATGGAATGTGGAAGAATCAATGCTTGTGCTGGGGAAGGAGAGGGTGATGGCTGGAAAAAGAGCCAGGGTAGCAACTCCATGGACTAGAAAAGAAGTGGAATTTGAAGCTAAAAATCGACATTTGGATTCTGGTGCTTACCTATGAGACTCTGGGCAAGGTCATTTAATTTCTCTGAACTTTAGCTTTCTTGAGATTAAGTAATGTATTATTTGTAAGTGTCTTCTAAGTCTTAAATCCCTATGTAACTGTTCATTATTAGCAAGCAGGAAAACATTTCCCAAGAAATATGATCAATTACTTAGCTCCCCTGAATTCTGCACTCATACCATCATAGATGAGCAATGAGTGGGCTGCAGGTATTCCTCCCAGAGAAAGAACGTCAGTGCACATGACCAACAAGGACTTCTAGTACACAAGTTTCAACAAGTGTGTGAAAAGTGTGCAGTGATCTCAAATACCTAATCCTCAAAATAACTAGATTCTAGTTTTAGAAATTCTTCATATTTAGCCACAGTATGGTTCTCTACTCTAAATTAATAAAACTGAATAATACCGTCTTAAGAACTCTGTGTTACTGTGTGAATTCATCTTGTGTGCCATACACTGTGGAGTCACTTTCAACTAATGGCAGCCCGTGTCACAGGGTCTTCCGTAGGTTTGATTCTACAGCCCAGATTGCTAAGTGTTTGCTCTCACAGAACAGCTGGTAGGTTTGAACTGCCAATATTTGGGTCAGCAGCCAAGCACTTACCTGTTTCATCACAGGTCTCCTCCTTATGGAGCTAATAGTGATAGGTAGATTGATGTTAAAATTACTTATACGATTAAAAGTTCACTGGGTAAGTTTTTAGACTTCTTTTTTTTAAATCATTTTATTGGGGGCTCGTACAATGCTTATTGCAATCCATACATACATACATCGTGTCAAGCACATTTGCACATTTGTTACCCTCATCATTCTCAAAACATCTGCTTTCCACTTGAGCCCCTGGCATCAGTTCCTCACTTTTTTCCCTTCCCTCCCTATTACCCCCTCCCTCATGAACCCTTGATAACTTACAAGTCATTATTATTTTGTCGTATCTTACACTGTCCAGCGTCTCCCTTAACCCACTTTTCTGTTGTCCATCCCCCAGGGAGGAGGTTATATGTAGATCCTTGTAATCGGTTCCCCCTTTCTACCCTACCTTCCCTCCACCCTCCCAGTATCACCACTCTCAGCACTGGACCTGAGGGGTTCATTTGTCCTGGATTCCCTGTGTTTCCAGTTCACATCTGTACCAGTGTGCATCCTCCAGTCCAGCTGGATTTGTAAGGTAGAATTGGGATCATGATAGTTATGGGGAGGAAGCAGTTAAGAACTAGAGGAAAGTTGTCTGTTTCATCATTGCTACACTGCCCTCTGACTGGCTCATCTCCTCCCGGAGACCCTTCTGTAAGGGGATGTCCAGTTGCCCACAAATGGCCTTTGGGTCCCCACTTTGCACTCCCTTCTCATTAACAGTGATGAGATAATTTGTTCCCTGATGCCTGATACCTAATCCCTTCTACACCTCGTGATCACACAGGCTGGTGTGCTTCTTCCCATGTGGACTTTGATGCTTCTGTGCTAGATGGCTGCTTGTTTACCCTCAAACCTCTAGGACCCCAGACGCTATATCTTTTGATAGCTGGACAACATCAGCTTTCCTCACCACACTTGCTTATGCCACCATTTGTCCTCAGCGATCATAGCGGGAAGGTGAGCACACAGTGATATGGTTTTCCGTTCTTTAATGCCTGAAACCTGATCCCTTTGACACCTTGTGATCACACAGGCTGGTGTGCTTCTTCCGTGTGGGCTTGGTTGCTTCTCAGCTAGATGGCCGCTTGATTATCTTCAAGCCTTTAAGACCCCAGATGCTATATCTTTTAATAGCTGGACACCATCAGCTTTCTTCACATTTGCTTATGTACCCATTTGTCTTCAGCAATCATTAGACTTCTTTTTATAATATATACTATATGCTTTTTCAAGGAGCCCTGGTGCCATAGTGGTTATACATCAGGCTGCAAGGTTAGCAATTAGAAACCACCAAGTACTCTTTGGGAGAAAGATAAGGCTTTCTACTCCAGTAAATAAAGAGTTAGTCTCAGAAGCCAACAGAGGCAGTATACCCAGTCCCATGGGGTGGCTAGGAGTTGGAATTGACTCGATGTCAATGAGTTTGGTTTGGCCTCTATATACTTTTTCAGCTATTCCGTTTCCCTTCTTATCATTTAATACCCTAGAATGGTTTTAATTTTGTTATGTGTCCCTGTTAAGATTGAATCCCTCGGTTTTAACAGGCTCACCTCACATGTTTCCTTTTAAAAATAATTTTAACAGGCCCAGCCTCTTCACACCAACCTTTGAAGAACCTTCGAGAAAGGAGAAACACAGACCTTCCCCTTCTGGACATGAATGCTGTAACCAGGGAGGAAGGAGAAGGAATGGAGACAACTGACATTGAGTCTCTATCTTCCAGCAGCACTTACACACAATCTTTAGAGCAGCTACTTAATTCTCCTGAAACGAAACTTGGTATGTTCCTTTTTGTCTTTTTTTTTTAAACGTTATTTCCTTATTTAATTTTGCCGTATTACATAATAAATGTTACCCCAAATTATAAATGCTTTCGTGGTTCTCTCCAACTACGTTTCTTTCAGTGTTCTTGCCCTAGTCAAACGTAAACTTTAAAGTGTTTTTTGTTTCTGGTTTTTGTTTTTGTTTTGTTTTAAAGACAAGCATTTTTCAAAGGAGAATGCTAGGTTTGCTCTAGTCTTGAGCAACAAATCAGCAGTTGGAGTTCTCGATTGCTGGGTGCTGTTGAGTGGATACTAACTTATGGCATGTGAGCAGAGTGGAGCTGCCTGCCCCTAGGGCATCCTTTATGTAACCTTTATGGCAGCAGATTTCCAGGTTTGCTCCCTGCAAGGACTGGCAGGGTTGAACCATCCAACTTTTCAGTTAGCAGCTGAGCACTTAAATGTTGTCCCACCAGGATTCCTGGGAAAGTTCTATAGCAATAGAAAACAATAATAAGTAGTGTAATAATAACAAGTGTTATAAACTCTTCTTTCACCCTTCCAACAAACTGACAATTCCACTTTATTCCTTTGTCTTACTAAATATTTTTAATTTTCATCTCTAATGATTACTAATGATCCCAGTTCAAGAAGAATCTATTTGTCATTCTTCTGTTTCCTCTCTAACTCTGAAAATGGATTATTTGAACAAATATGTGACAGAGCCTCCTCTGTGGCATGCTGAATTTACCAAAGAAGAGTTGGTTCAGAAACTCGCCTCTACCACCAAAAGTACTGATCATCTAAACGGGCTGCTTCGAGAGACAGAAGCTACCAATGCAATTCTCATGGAGCAAATTAAGGTAAATTCAAAATTCCTAACCTCCCAGAAAATACTGTACACTGATTTGATTCTGGTTTGTTTTACCCTTCTTCCCCCCACTTGAAACCCCTGGTTTAAAAATTCACATTTCAGGTGCTTCCATAACACCCTGATTATTTATAATATTAGACTACTGGTGGAAGAAGATTAATTGCTTTTCTTTCTAATACGTAACTACTATTTTAATGCCAACTTTTTCTAAGAACCTCTGTCATAAATAGATGAGTACAAGTCATTGTAACCGCATACACTTAAATCAAACTATAAATAGGTGTGAGTCCTTACAAAGGAGCCACAGTGGGACAGTGGCCAAGCACTGCTGGCCAGATCAGTTTGGGCTCACTAGCAACATCACAGGAGCAAAATGTGGTGGTCTGCTGGTGGACCTCGAGCCTTGGACGTCCTTTGGAGCAGTTCTACCCTGTCCTTCAGGGTGGAAATGACTCAGAATTGATTCAACAGCAGTGGGTCATAGATCTGAAATTATGAAGGTAAAGTCACTTAAAACTTAAATTATTCAGCTGTTGTTTATGGCAGTAAACTACTTGTTTACTGGTTGCCAGTAGAGATGACAAATGAATGTAAGAGGTTTTCCCTATTTAAAGTAAATGTCAGAAACCTCTAAGGGGAAAAGATAAAACCCTCTAGGAAGAAGGTCAGTTGAGGATTGGAGGATTACTCGAGATGTTTTCAACCCCTGGTTCTCTTATAAACCACATCTCAGAGTACAGTTATACTCCTTATTGAGCAATTCGCATGTGCCATGCTTGTCATGCATTTGATTTAATCATCATTATCCTGTTTAAGAGAAAACTTGAAGCTGATAAATGGTGGGGCAAAATTCAGACCATGCTGTTCCAAGTAGATTTGCCCTACCTCTGTGCCAATTAATGTTTCTGTTTTATTTTGTTTTAATGCTGAAGCACTTTAAAGAAAATTAAAAGGCATTGTGACATCTCACTAGTAAACACTTTACTATGCATCTTACAGAATTACATTTTCATACAGTCAAAAAATAACATCATACCTAACTAGCCCCGTGAACCCAAATGACTATCTAAATGTTGCATATGCATTCACTTCCTCCTATCTTATACCTAATTGTCACCTTTTTAAATTACCACTGTTTTTATGAGTCAGAGTTAGGCAGCATTCCTTGACCTAACCTAAAATGGAACCTAAAAAATGTAATAGTCTATAAAAACCAGAAACCAAACTCACTGCCAAATAGTGGAGTCTTACTCATAGTGGCCTGGGAGATAGAACTGCCCTGTGAGTGTCTGAAACTTCCGGAGCAGGCAGCCCCCGTCTTTCTCCCTCACTGTGTTCAGTGGTATTGAGCTGCTGACTTTACGGCTTGCATCCAACATATAACCACTGTGCCACCAGGGCTTAGGGAACAGTCTACAGAAATAAAACAACAGGAAATCTAACTTCACTTGAGCATCTTCCTTTTTCATGTCATCCTTTTGGCACATTGACCCATTTTGAGGAGGGTTTAGTTGTCGTTTGTCTAACCGACTCTGACCTTTGCTTATGTTAATGTGCTGATGTTTATTTTGTAAGCATGATTTGACTGGGCACATCTTAATTACTGGTGGTTTCAGCACAGACAGGAGTGGGGTTCATGGAGGATACAGATGTTCGCTGTAGCCCGTTTTCAGATTCTCTCTCAGATCTTTTTGGTAGGATTCAAGTCTATTTTGTTCACCAGAATTCCAGTAACCTATTTTCAACTCATTTTTCTCACATCAGCTTCTCAAAAGTGAAATAAGAAGATTGGAAAGAAATCAAGAACGAGAAAAGTCTGTCGCTAACCTGGAATACTTGAAGAATGTCTTGCTGCAGTTCATCTTTCTAAAACCAGGTAGTGAGAGAGAACGGCTTCTTCCTGTTATTGATACAATGTTGCAGCTCAGTCCGGAAGAAAAAGGGAAACTGGTTGTAATTGCTCAAGGTAAGTGAAAAGAATCTCAAGAGTATTTTTTACATCACACTACCTGCTGTATTTAAAATTGAGACTTTGTCTCTATACGTGGTTATAGTCTTTTTCACAACCCTAGGACTTTTTAAACTGTAACATTTGCTCTTTTGTTGGCATGTGCCTCTCCTGTTTCAGCTTTCTTCTTACATCCCACTCCAAAATAGTCTAGGAGCAACGGAGAGTTAGGACTTCAGCCTTGGTCCATGTCTAAACCACACTCACTGCCACCGAGTCGATCCCAACTTTTAGTGAAGCCATGTAAGGTTTCTGAGGCTGGAAATCTTCACAGGAGCAGACAGCCTCATCTCTCTCCTGGCAGGGCCGTATCTAGCTGTCCTTTTTCCCCAGTTGAATTCAGCGCTGTGTGAGGTTTATATCAGCAGTGCTACGACAACAGGTTTGCTTATGGGGGTGGGCAATGTCAACTAGATTTAATATGGTGATTTCATAACTTTAAAGCGCTTCACATTTGATGATCACATTTCATTATTTCAAACTGCATCATAAGGATAGTTTTATTTTTCAATGTTTTTATTACTGATAACTGAGACAAACAGAGAATATTATAATGAACCTGTGTATAACTAAACAATTTTCAATTCACAGGCCATTTTGTTTCATCGAGCAATTTTTTGTTAGGAGTAGGGCAGAACTAGAGATATGAAAGTAAATCCCATGCATCTATCATCTTGATTATTGCAAAAATGTCTTCTTATAAGATCCTAAATTGGTTTCACACGTTGCTTTTGGTTAATGTATTAGGCTTTTTTTTACAACAGTTTTAATGGCATATAATTTACATATCATAACAGTTCAATTTTAAAAAGACAAAAGCCTTCCTGCCATTGAGTCCGTTCTAACTCCTAGTGACCCTTTAGAACAGGGGACAACTGCCCCTATGGGCTTCTGAGACTGTTTATGGGAGGAGAAAACTCTGTCTTTCTCCTGAGGAGCGTCTAGTTGTTTCAAACTGCAAACTTTTCAGATCACAACCCAACACATCCCTACTACGCCATCAGAGCTCCCTATACAATTCAGTAGTTTTATTATATTAAGAAGAGCTGTACAATCATCACCACAAATCAGTTTTAGAATGTTTGTTTAAGATGTTTGTGTTTCTGGTTTTTGATCTGTAATAATTCTGTGCCCCTTTTTAAATATACAACTTACTTGTTAAACTGTTAGTTTTGTTGTTGTTGTTTTTCTTTTTAATCATTTTATTGGGGGCTCTTTCAGCTCTTATCACAATCCCTACATCCATCCATTGTATCAAGTACATTTGTACATATGTTGCCATCATCATTTTCCAATACATTTTCTTTCTACGTGAGCCCTTGGTGTCAGCTCATTTTCCCCCCTCACACCCTCCCTTAAGAAACTGATAGTTTGTCATATAGCATGTCTTGTAGTCTTGATTCAGCACTTAGCATGTTCTAATATTGACAGTAAATTGGAATTTAGATCTCTGACCCAGATAAGAGTGGAGGGGGCCAAGTACTCTACAGGTGGTGGTTGTGAACTTTCTGACATCACACCAGTAGACAGAAAATGTTTGGTTGCCCCACTCTGAATGTTGCTATAACTGAGCAGCAGTGTATTCAGTTGTCATGATCACAGTTTAGAGTAATTTTTACAAATAGAAAAATGTATAATAGATCCTTATGTTCCCTGTCACCTAAATCCCGCAACTATCAACATACTGTAAGTCTTGTTTAATTTTTTCCCAAAAATAAACCTTTTCCTTTTTTTTGGACTATATTAAACCGTAGCAGATATCATGTAATTTTATTTTTAAATGTGTCATGTAAAATCTAAAAAATGGAAAAAAGTTTAGACCAGCTCCACAAAGGTAGTAATATTCCACTAATGTCTAATTCCTAGCCCATTTTTATTTATAGGTCCATATTTATCCATTTAATGTAGCTATATCTCATTTTCTTTTTACTTGAGTTTTCAAATTGTGATTCAAATAAATCTTACATATTAAATTGGAGATTTTTTTATCGCTTCTCAGCCTTTTGGTTAAGATCTCAAGTGTAGAGATTTTAAAATATTTAAGAGGCAAAATGGTATCCTGTACTTCCTTTTATTGAGTCTCACTTATTTGTCAAAGAAACCAATTGTTTGTCCTATAAAAATTTTCTACAATCTGGATTTACCTGATTGTCTCAATCAGTTGGTACTTTAACTATAAATCCTAACTAAACTGATGATTTAGCAAGTGATCCTCAAAATGAGCAGGTGTCAGTATAACCTGGCGCACCTGTTAAACCAGGTTGCTGATCCTGCCCTCATTTCTGAGTTAATCCATTTTGAATGGAACCCAGGAATTAGTATTTTTACCTAGATTGCAGGTAATGCTGATGCCTCTGACTTTACTTGAGATTTCCTTATTTAGGGTTCTTACTTTGTTTTTTACAAGAATCCTTCATAAACAGTGCTTTAAAAAAAAGTCTGGAGTCGTGGTTTCTTTAAATATGTTTAGTAACAGTACATCTTTCTAATGATCAGAGAGGAGTCCACTTAACATTGATAGTGAGTTCAGTACTGCTAAACATAGGGTACATTACCGTAGCCACATAGCAGTTTTTATCAGAAGGTCCAAAATAAGAATACATGATGTACATTTTTAACCATGTATTTATTCTAAATTATTGAATTTGCTTTTAAGTACGATATTTATTCTAGATCTGGAATAGCTAAAACTTTTTGTTATAAAATGGATCGAAACTTCAGAAAGAGTATGTGTATTTTTAAATTAGAGCGTAGTTACTAGTAAGCTTAGCAGTATGATCTCAAAAATAACATTGCCAGTAGGTCTCATTTTAAAAGACCAACTTGTTTATAATGTAATGTAGCTAATGCCTAACTGACTCCTGTAAATCCAAGTTCATTGACTAAAGATCTTAAAGGCACAAACTTGAGTCCTAACAGCAACTGTTTAAAATAATTCTACAAAAGATATATCAAAAAATTCATTGTTGTGATAGTGGTGTGTGCCAGGTCAGTGTGCATAGTGACCCGATGTGACGGAGCAGAACTGCCCCTTAGGGTCTTGTCAGCTGTGGGCTGTACAGGAGCAGGTCCTTTCTCCCGTTATCAGTCTGCTCCTGAGTCGTTAGGTTAGCAACCAGGCTCAGAACCTTTTCCTACCAGGGTGCCTCAGAGTTCATTAGACACCCAGAAGTCTGCAATGTGGTTTTACTATACAAAAAAACCACACACACATAAAATTTAAATTATTTTGCCCTTTAAAGGTTATTTACTTATCTGAGCATACAAAAGAACATGTAAAAAATAAAAGCAGTCGTGGTTCAGTGGTTCCGAGCAGATTTTAAAATGGCTTGATTTGGATGGGGCATGGTTCCTTTTCTTAAAATTCAAGTTCTTTTTCCAATGGTTTTATTGACAAGAAATTTACATATCATGCAATTCTTTTTTTTTTTTTTCAGTTCAAGGACTGTTGGCCTTTAGGAGTGTTTTCCGGTCGAGTCTGATGGGGTGCCAAGCCCTGGCCCCAGAGTCTAGTTTTGGTATTCCCTGGGGACTCCATTGCTCTGTTCCCCTTGCTGTTCTGTTGCACGCCCTTAGTGTTTTGCCTCCATGTGGTGGGATCAGATCCGGTGCAATTCCCACAGTGTCTCCAGTGTTGTCTCCTCATATCATTCAGTAGTTCAGTCATTCAGTCATATCACAGAGAATTGTACATTCATGCCCACATGAATTTTAGAGTGCTCACCCCCCCCCACCTCCCCCGCACTCCCATCGCCTTTGGTGATGTATGGAATCACAGTCTGTTCTAGTGCTCCCTTCCCTGACCCATCGTCCTTAGTTACTTACTCCCGAAACCCCCTTTCCCTCTCTGTCTTCCGCCCCACCCCCACACACCCCCTGTATCCCCTTGTATCCATATTATCATGATGCATCCACTCCTCCTGTGCTTCATAGCTGGGAGACCCAAAAGAAAACAATTTAAAAATCACGCTAAGGTGATAAGGGTAAACACATAATAGTACACAGACAAAATTACTAATAATGCATAAGAAGGAAAAGAACCCCAGCAATAATTAAAAAGCCAGGGAAGAAGATATTTGCACCAGAACAAACTCAGGTTGAGTCCATGGGGTGGTCAACTGTCCAAGTGTCGTGTTCAGTGCAGCGCCATCAAGATGTCAGTGGTCTCTGCCTGATAGTAACGCTGATTGAGACTCTTGCCTGTGGCGAGAACAGGTGTACCAGCGGCTCAGTCTGACTAGATACTCTGCAGATGGGTTTTGCTCCCACCGTCCCCCATGGCCTCCACACACCGGGCGTTCATCATCTTTGCTCCGATGCTTTTCTCCTCACTACAGTCAAGTTCTGTATTAATAGAAATCTTAAACTGGAAACATTGAGGGGAATTAATCTAGAATTCAGCATGAGAAGCAAAAAGGCAGGGATGGGGGACAAGATGGAAGACACGTGACATATTTAATAATTAAAGTTCTAGAAGGAAAATAAAAATATTGAGACAGACATTATTTGAAGAAAGTGACTAAAAAAGTTTTCTGAATTGTTAAATTATATCAGTCTGCAGGTCCAAAAAGCCCAATAAAATTTCAAGCAAGTTATTGAATTGGCAAATGTACTATAATTGTTAATAATTGTTAAAACTCAAGTAGAATAATTAAAATGTCCCTTATGATTGCATTAAGATGAAACTGTAAGGAAGCAGAAAAAGACTAAAATCTTAAAAGCCATCAATGAATAAAAGGCATTTCCTCATTCCTTTTAAGAAGTAATAGATTTAAAATGGACTTTTTAATAGGAGTGATGGGTATTTTCATTGTGGTAAAAGCAATAACTGCCAACTGTGTGAAAATATTTTTCATGATACTTTCTTTAAAACTTTATAAATTCCCTGTATTGAGAATTTTAAATCATGTACTTGAAACCCACATTAAGTTTACCAAGTGCAGATGCAGGCAGGAATG